TTAATCTGTCTGCCAACTAGTATTGAAATACAATATACAGTTGAACCTCGTTAACTCAAACTAAGCAGGACTTAGTATGAAATAAAGCTAAAATAAAGTCAAGCAAAGAAGAGCAGGTGCTGTCTGTAAGAGTTGGAAAGGTAACATATTGACAGTTGTTATTTCCCTGTGTAGAAGTTAATAGCTATAGTTATATAGTTATATACTCTACTTGAGGAAGTATAGCTACACAGACCTTTCAATTCTATGTTGTAACCCAACTCTCATGATATCATCGAACACACATTCTTGGTATATTTGTCAGCTACCTGACTTGAAGTTTATATTAAAACTTTGAATAATACATTTGTTTGTTAAATATTAAGCTGTGGACGAGTAGTTGAATACAATACACCATTTTTCCTATGAACATAGAACTGTACACACTTTGCTTATGGTTGTGTACAGGTACATACAGCAGCTTAATAATGAAAAACATTTATTTCAGAAACAGTTTCGATTAAATGTGTTATCTACTTAAACAAGGAAGTTTTTTGCAAGACATAAATACTTTTGCTTCAGTTCAGTACTAATGATGAACTTGGGAATAATGACACCTAATCTTTAGGGTAGTCAAACTTTTATCATAATCTTTTTAAAAAAAAAAAAAAAAAATTATGAAAATGATCAGCAGGTTTTTTACTTCACTAATCTATGTGAAAGAAAAAAAACCGGAAACTGTTTATTAACGCCAATATGATTTGTCAAGTGTAAGAGCTACTTTGACAAGGAGTCATGGTTGTTCCAAGCCTTCAATAATGATGCTGCAACGGATGTGCACTGTATCACACACTTCAGACTAGTTACTTTAATGTGTGGCACTGTTGTACAAATGTATATACTCATCTGTGTACAGAATGATGGTTAACTTATCGTAAAAGTTTCTTATGAAATCTGTCATGAGTTTAAGTCCAGCAAAACTTTTGAAATTTGAAAAAATAGATTGCTTACATCATGTATTGGATGTAAAATTATAAACCAAAGTTAACTGATGATAAAATAACTTGCAGTCAATGTCCACTGGGACCGATTTTATTTCTTGAGAAAGCCATTGATAATCTTTGGTATGCAGGAAATTACAAAACTCCTGGCCTCAGACCACAACCACACATCCAGAACATGTAGATGGTGTAAAGATAACTAAATCAGCATGTTTAGAGACTTTAAACCATCAAAATTAATACACTATAATGGGCAACTTGGCAATGCATGAAGAATTATTTTATAAATATTTCTGAACTTATAAACAAACCTCAAATGTTTAAGACTTATGTGAAAGGATTTCATGCTTTTTCTCATTTAATGCCAAGAATACTATATTTTGTGACTTTTACCAACATTTTGAAAGGAAGAGGACTTACAATATGGCTAAAAAAAACCAAACATTGCTTGAATTGTCTGTTTGAACCTCTTTTGTTTTTGTAAAAGATTTTCTTTTTCAATTTGGCGAAACACATTACTTGTTTTTGTTTTGTTTGAGTTAAAACGTATTCTGTAAAAGTTTGGATAGATTGTAGAGAATTGCCAAGGTATCTAACCTTTCTGTATAAGTCACTTGGTACACTACACAGAAGTTAACTTACATATCATTCTCCTAAGCTGATGACTGGATCCAACTGTATAGATGCTATCATCTAATACCAGTGTAGAATGACTACATACAGGATATAATATTGATCTGACAGTTCAGTCATCTTGGGATTTAATTCTACTGTAACCAATACTGAAAGCTGTGTGATGTATCACACTCATAACTAGATGAAGTGTGTATTACACAAGCTATGGACAATGTTGACATATTGGATCAATCACAGAGAAATGATGGTTTATCGTCTCCAACAATATGTGTCTCAAGAGGACAGTCTTTATAGTTATTGTAACACAGGGTTACCCACTGGAAAACTGTTACTGATCTGTGAATAATGTTAAAGATACAGACACAAAACATTCGGAGGTTTTGAGTTGAAAGACCTTATAAATAGATAAACAAATGATTAATTGATAAATCTCTAACTATAAAATACTTGGTGATCATTTACTGCTTAATTAGAGCTTCTTGGATAGCTGTCCTGAACAACAGTATCACTTTTTAACAAATTGATACAGTGTGTACACATACTAGCAGCACTCAAGTATGGAATAATACTTAATGGGCACTTTATATTATTTCACTGAACAACATATCGGAAGTTATACCTAATTTTAACGGTCCAGGCACATTATTGTACAATAGTGTACAGATGATAATTTTCAAGTACATGCAAAGATTTATTTATAGAATAATTTTTACAGAAAATGAGATTTATTCCTCTAAAGTACATACTGTATTTATAAAACAATACAGTGGGCTGATACATGACTCTAAGTATGGGGTTGCCAAGCTATTACAGGACAGTGAAATCAATTAACATTTGTTAGTAATTTTACTAACAGTACAATATACATAAACATATACCCTAGATGTACATTATATGGAGGGGTTTATTATAAGGCTTGGCTTTTTTCCTCATATGTTGTATATGTTAACATGCATATCTATTATTCAATAGAATACAATATACATGTACAGCTTAAACAAAACAATACATTAACATTGGCATCATGCCACAACAAATAGACAATAGCATACAAGTTTTGAGATTATTTAATAAACACTGCTTCCTATGACAAGGCAAGATGCCTGAATGATATTTCAATAACCAGCCTTTAAAAACCTTTACCCCATTTTTTTTTCAGGTATCTAACTAATCAACAATACAAAACTGATAGCACATTATTTTAAGTTAGAATTTGAAGTGTGACATGGACACTCGGACTACATAACAATATTCCAACAATAACACAGGAAGGAATAATACAGGACGATTAACACATAAGGCCAAACACAAAACATTTCATGTTTGTGATAACTCTACCTACCCTTAATATTTTGGGCCTACTCCAAACTTTTAAAGTAATTATCAAACAAGCACTATAATGTCAAAATTTTTCTCAAAAATATAAAATGATTTGTTATAATGCAGATTTTCGCCTACCTACTCTAATTTTTTCCAACTTGTTACCTGAAACAGATATATGTTTTTGTATAACCTAATTACCAAATGTCTTCTCTAACAAACATTTGGGACAGATTAAACATTAAATTTTTGCCAGACTTGAACAATTAACTATTAATTATATGACATAAAAAGTAAACATTGATTCAATAGGTCTGTCATTAAAATGTTCTTTGATAACCTTATTTCAAGAGTTTAATATTTTCTTGACTTGATTTTTTTATTCATCAAATACCTTATGGAAATCCTTTGGACCTATGTGCTTTTTAGTACACTGTAACTTACATTCCCTTATACATTAATAATCAAATCTTCATCTCAACAGCTATAAGGTTAACAGAAAGCAATCTCAAAATATGTATTTCTTCATGAACACAAGTGACAAATGAATTTAACTTTCTCACCCCTCAGATCGATATTCATCCACTGACCCAATTAATTATCTGCCTTGCATTTTTAATACTATGTAACCTTAGGTTCAAATGTTGTCTTCAGTACGACTCAGTCCTGAAATGATGTTTGTAAACAATCCTTGATACATTCAGCCCCATGCTGTCACCATACATTTAAGGATTTCCTGACTGAACAGCTGACACTTATATTAACTGCCAAGGAAATTTTGGCCTTTGTCAATACAACAAATTTTGAAACAAAACTCATTTAGAAACCGAACTATAAGACCACTGGTGCATAAACCAATATCTTCTGGATATAACATTAACCTCAGTCAAGGACTTACAATATGGAAACAAATACAACTTGACAGTCCCTTTTCCTTCCTATGTTTTTATTGAAGAAAGGACTTCAATAAGACAAGAAAATGAAGTCAAGATACTGCTACTAGCTTGTTTCTTGAAGTAAAACCAAGAAATGGCAGTTTTCCAGACTTACTTATATTAATTAGATAAATTGTACTTCTTTAAAGTCGTATATTTACAAAAACTTACTGATACTCATATTGTACAAGTGCATGTTCAATATCATCTTCAGATACAAGGTACATTATACGTAATGTACAGAGAGGTAGGTGCCTTATGTAAGTAATATTACTGTTTAAATCCACAATGGAATACAATGTTACATTGACATATTTAAGATTACTTTTAATAGACAAACAAATCAGAAATGTTATAATTTACTCTGTTTTTGTAATTATACAACCATTGTGAACAGAGATACATCTTATGTATACAAACATGATTTAAGTTCATCTAATTTCTATTCAGTGACTTAATATAAATCAAAAGAAGTGTTTTTTCACGTGGTTTGAAATTAAATGCCATTACATTTAGTTATATCATAGATATTTAAATATGTGGCAAATAAAATACCAGCCAAATAATCACTCAGTTTTACTGTGTCAATTGTACAGTGTATCAACCAATATCAATTAACAAATATTGGACAAATATAACATTGTCTTTTGAAAAAAGTCATACCTACATGAATATTTATTGAAGAATAGAGTTAGTGTACAACTTTACCTATTACTCTGCCCTATTTACTGCTCTCCCAGGCAGTTAGCCCAGGTCAGGTCAAGGTGCCTGAACATGTTCAGAGACGAATTTTCAAACAAAAGTACTATACACGTCTCCATCAAAGCACGATTTTAGAAGTAGATGAACGTATATCAATGGGTGCTTATATGAAATAAAGTTAATTATGTTTTACTTATGGATTTAAAACAGATAGCAAAACACAAAACGGGCCGAATAAAACACAGAAGTATCGTCTCCAAAGTAAGCATGCTTGCTCACGAGTATTTGTTTACATTGACATCGTGCCGTTGGGCATATTTATCGCCTCCGCTAAGAGACATAACAAAAAATCCTTTGTACGTATACCCATCGAAAAGTCGCCGATACGTATATTGACATCTCTGACGGTCAGCACATACATATTTACCTTGAATTTGAGGCCAACTGCAATGATCAACTGATTTAAGTGTCGTCTTCTCGCCGATTTCTACCGAAATATTCGGAAGATGACAGCTCCGAGCTGTCAAAATAGTCGAAATATGATTGGCTGAAATAATGTTTATCAAGGGGAGCAAAAACAAAAATATTTAAGAATTTTGTAAAAACTTTTCATTAAAAATAAAAAATATCATCTTGAAACAGACGATTTACAGAATCTCTATAAAATTAGGACATAAAGTGAAAGTTGTGCCAAACAGATGATTATTGAAAACAAAAACAAAAATAACTTCCGGCTAGTACGATCGATATAAATATACAGTTACAAGACATATTGTCTGACATATAATACAGAGCTCGTCACAGTAAAATATAATTAAATACAGTATCAGCTCTTTGTAGATAACAAGCGACTTAACTTGAAAGAATATATAGTTACTCTAGACCAACACAATGAGATATATATATATATAAATGTAGGCATATACCTTCTTCTGATGCCGAGAATAAATTTCATTTCATCTTCATTTGTCCATTTAAAAAAAAAAAATTTTGAATTAACGTGCCGAAGATTTGAGCTATATTGTATTCGTCTTCCAAGTTTATTCAAGTTTGTCCTCTTACTTGGTGTTAATAATGTCAAACAATTGTAATCTTGGCCAATACTGAAGATTCGCTTTAAAAGCGTTTCCAGTCTTTAAAAACGCTGTATTAATTTTGAGATTGGTCAGCAGAACAAAATGGCGGACAGGTGGTCAAGCCGGATTTTGACAGATGGAGTTTCTTATCGTTATTTCTTCAGAAGTATTAAACAAATATTTTTCAGTGTTTACATACATGTATGCCCTCTCATGTTATGACATTTAATTTTTTGTTGGTCTGATTTTGACAGTTAAGTTTGTTATCGCCATTTCTCAGACAGTCGTTGTTAAATCTATCTTAGATATTATGATTAAGAGGAAAAGGATAAAGAAGGGAAATAGAACCAGACAAGGTCTCTCAGTGTAATTGGGCTATCTCTGGATCTCTTGTTTTTTCGATTCATTCTCCTGTTTCATTCGACCACTTACTGGTCTACGCAAGACCCCTGACGCCAACAGTACATGTTGTTGTTGTTGTAAGCCACGATGAATGCCCTTCAAGCTTTTGAAGTTACAACTTGTATAGAAGTACATAAGTTTTAGTTAAATTGGTTGAAACAAAACCGTTGATGTGTTTGTGTGAATTGTCTTGGTGATGCTAAAAAATGCTGATGTGCAATACAAAATAAAAGTCAATGAAACTAGAGGCGATATATAAAAAGGATAAAAATATATTTGATAAAAAGAAAAAACACACGGAAAAAACCAAAGAAATAGATATGTCTCTCAAGTACAGGCTCATGGACAACACATTGACTATCTAGGGAAGTTGTCAATGTTTGCGATATAGAATTAGTTTATTTTCATAAGGTTTGAAGTTCTGTTATGACTATCTAAGGACGGCTTTCCTATGTACGCTAGATAAGTGCATGTGTTGAGCGAGCGTTTACTTTGCGATACATTAAACATATCTCTTTTGTTGTAAATGCAAAAGGATTGTATACAATGATTACAAGCTATATGAGAGAGAGTTTTTCCCGCAAAACATTATTTTCGTCTTCTCTCTTCCGCGTAACTATATGAGGACATAATACATCATTTCTGTGAGGACATTGCTTTGATGTCCTCTCACAGAAATGAGACAAATATGTGCCCACAAATATCATTAAATAAACAATCTGGCCCAGATTTATTCAATATTCAGGAGAGATTAAGTTGAGAAGTGAAATACACTGTCCACTACCACACCTATATAACACTAGGGGAAACACATTAAAGAATGCTGATCATCATTCGTTATCGTAATATTACGGAAAATCACACAGAGCATACTCATTACCAGAGACAAAACTGAAGTCAGGAATTTAGGGAAATACAAATTTTAGGTCAACATTTTGGAAACGTTATCTACATTTAATACTTGCTACACGAATGGTTGGCGAGAAGAGTTGTCTTTCTTGTTACGGTATATACCAAAGCATTGACTACCGCGGTGTTAACGATATCATGTTCACGATACTGCTGAGGTCATCAGAAGACGCTGTCCACAGGTGATGAAGCCACTGACGGAGGGACGCTTTTCTAGCGCAATCACACCGAAATGTCATAAGGTCACAACATAGACTCGGTAGCATGACATCAAATGAAGCACAACAGAAGTCGTCCCAATATACATATAGATATCCGAAAGTTACCAAAAAGGTGATCAGAAAAATAACTTAACATTGGTAAATATCAGAAAACAGTTTTTCAATCCAAATATTTATAGCACAATTTTAATTACAGAATATATAACGGTTTAGTAAAATAAATAGAGTATTAGATTAAAGTGGATACAAGAAAACTCTCCAGAGTTCTAATGAATGTTCATGAATGATTAGTTACTTCATACAGAGTTAATAATTAATGAAATGGTAATGAAATTTTCATCTACTGACAATGTAGATTATTTTTATCGCGACATTTTAAAACATTATTCTATAGGTTATTCATAGAGAAACTCTATTTTGTTTTCAATAAAGTACAAATTTTACAGGCATTTAATTGTCTTGGTATGTTATCTGAGCTCGCGTTGAAAGACCACGTTCATATAAAATAAACACTTTAAAATTAGTTCACTCAGGTGTCTTTATTACCGAATTTATCGAATAAGTATTTGGACTTAAATTGTATTTTTTGATTGAAAGGGTAATTGAGATAATCTACTTTTAGTTCCTGTGGCCCCTTCACCAGATGTTAGACATTTCGACTGACTGGTATCACACTAGAAGTAAGTCTGTCACAGGCGGACATATGTCCAGGATACACGTGTAAATAGGTGGTGTGTGTTGTTTTCTCGGTTTTTGTCGTAACTATTTATAGAAAACATTATCAATCTACGAAGAATTAATTTATCACAGCATACATATGTCTTTACTTGTACAGTTACATTAATATCATGCTTCCTTCAATGCAATATCAATATGAAATTTAATTTAATAAAAAATGTGTGAAATTTCTTTCATTCCAACACGGATACGTATAGATGTTCAAAGTCAACACGTGCACTTTTGTCCGATATCTGATTGACTTTACAACATGTCAAGTGTACTTTAACACTTACTCTATCTGTAGTTGTGTTCGACCCTACATTCACACAATGGCATTTTCAACACAATCTATCACACATATTGTATATCACAATCGTTTTCCTCTTTCCGAACACACGTCAACACGTTACGTAACGTCAACATGCGTACAGCACACGCACCGACGTAACACCTAGAACAAAAACAAAAGCTGGGATTTAGCACCAACGAGGATTAATAGTTGACCGTGACTATCTCCCCTAGGAAATATCATAATACTTGCGGTTAATCAATTATTCATACCAACCCTTCTAAGCATCTAATTGTTTACTACATGCATGCACTTGTATAACGAACGTTCGTTACACGGTTTATGTTGTTAATGAACATTTCCAAACGAGTACGTGTATATATGTATCTAGAGGTATAGTTGTTTATCACGCCTACTTTATATGCAAAGTCGTATAAGTCATTTTCAGCTCGATTTGAAAGGAGAGGTCAGGTTCGAAGTCAAATATAAGTCAGCTTAATAATGCACGTAATTCTAAATCTTTCTGTGAAAACAAGTGACTTGTTAACGATAGGTACAGATTTAAACATCGGGAAGACGAAAGGAAAATGTATCTAAAGTTACAATGCGACCAGGTGTTTCTGAATGGTTATGTTCATTACTCAACAACGACAAAAAAATATTCAAATTAAAATCCAAGCCATGTTACACGAATCAGTGGCAACGAACCACAACTCATACAAACTAGATAACACAAATAAGTTACAACGAACCACAACTCATACAAACTAGATAACACAATTCAGTAACAACGAACCACAACTCATACAAACTAGATAACACGTATCAGTAACAACGAACCACAACTCATACAAACTAGATAACACAATTCAGTAACAACGAACCACAACTCATATACACTAGATAACACAAATCAGTTACAACGAACCACAACTCATACAAACTAGATAACACAAATCAGTTACAACGAACCACAACTCATATACACTAGATAACACAAATCAGTAACAACGAACCACAACTCATATACACTAGATAACACAAATCAGTTACAATGAACCACAACTCATACAAACTAGATAACACAATTCAGTAACAACGAACCACAACTCATACAAACTAGATAACACAAATCAGTTACAACGAACCACAACTCATACAAACTAGATAACACAATTCAGTAACAACGAACCACAACTCATATACACTAGATAACACAAATCAGTTACAATGAACCACAACTCATACAAACTAGATAACAAAATTCAGTAACAACGAACCACAACTCATACAAACTAGATAACACAATACAGTTACAACGAACCACAACTCATACAAACTAGATAACACAATTCAGTAACAACGAACCACAACTCATATACACTAGATAACACAATTCAGTTACAACGAACCACAACTCATACAAACTAGATAACACGTATCAGTAACAACGAACCACAACTCATACAAACTAGATAACACAAATCAGTTACAACGAACCACAACTCATACAAACTAGATAACACAAATCAGTTACAACGAACCACAACTCATACAAACTAGATAACACAATTCAGTAACAACGAACCACAACTCATACAAACTAGATAACACAAATCAGTTACAACAAACCACAACTCATACAAACTAGATAACACAAATCAGTTACAACGAACCACAACTCATACAAACTAGATAACACAAATCAGTTACAACGAACCACAACTCATACAAACTAGATAACACAAATCAGTTACAACGAACCACAACTCATACAAACTAGATAACACAATTCAGTTACAACGAACCACAACTCATACAAACTAGATAACACAATTCAGTTACAATGAACCACAACTCATA